AAAAGTGCTACTTGGTCCCAATGTAATTTTCCATTGGGAACCTACTAGCACTAAGTTGCTGACTGGTTAGCAAGATGCTTCCAACCACCGGCCTATAATCAAACCTGCTTGTGAACCTTCCGCCACAACAATCCCTCCCCCTTGATAAACGACCAATACAACTCGGGAGAATTCGGAAATGCAAGGGTTGGAACATCCGTTTCTCTATGACTTTTAATGTAACAATGACATTTTGAAATAACTGAATGCAAGTAAAATTCTCAGCTCATTACTATGCAATATATTTTATAAGAATAAAAAGAACCATACAATGATTTACTTTGATAATTTATCACGAAAATATAGATTATTGCTGAGGAGTTTTTATTTTATTCCATCAGTCAGCTTTTATTTCATAATAATGTTTTCTTCTATTGCCTTTTGATTTCATAAAGACATTTTTAACATTAATGACTTAGTTGGCCAATCAGCGTCAGCAGGTTGGATCTGCACCCCCATGGGCTGACACCAAACAGGATCTAGTCTTCATTCTGGCTGCCTGCTAGTTGAGCTAGCAACAACTAGCTTGGTGGAGTTTCATGAACAGAAAACCATCATTGGCTGGATCTATGTCAGAATATGTTTCTTTAAGTCACCATGAACTAATTTTTGAAATGATCAGGCTGATAATTAGTCGTCATGATGTTAACATTGATGATGCTGTGGTAGAAAGCGCTGTAGAGCTGATAGGTATTTTTTTAATTACTTATTGATTTCATTTTCAACTAGTTTGCTTTCCATACACTTTAAGTAGCTTTATTCAGACAGCAAACTTTTTTCTCATTTTGATGCAGATTTTTTTATATTAAAGCCATTTTTTAAAGTCGCAATGAGCTCCTTACATTCCTACTTAGATACAGACGCTGCCATTAATCCTACTGTTATCTCATTAGTAAGTAGGTTTTATTTCGGCACGATGAAAAACAAATCGAGAAATAAAACAAAAATTTTATTCATTCAATAAGTGTTTGATTTGGAGATTCTTGTTTTGCTTCCCACAGCTCCCAGCAGCTGTGTTGTGACAGAGTGGGCGGAGTGGGACCCCTGTAGCGTCACCTGCGGTCTTGGCATGAGGAGACGGGAGCGAATGGTGAAGATGCCCCCTATCGACGGATCGATGTGTAAAACTGAGGTTGCTGAGATGGAGAAGTGTATGATGCCAGAATGCCGTGAGTTTGCAGTTCTTTGTGTATTTTTTTTGTTTTGGTAATTGTATAATTACCAAATTGCACCCTGTGCAATTTGTTCTTGCCTTTGTCGAAGAAGTTCAGGCTCAGGATTTAATTTTTGCTTTAATCCCTGTGTACGCCTACAGGAGGAACAATTGCAGATAACAGCACAACCTTTGCTTTTAGACAGCATTGGTCACTTTTATATAGATAAAACATTAATCTTTGCAATTACATTTTAAATAACATGTTTTAGGTGGCTATTTGTGGATTTATTTTATTTGTATAAATGTTTGACGGATGTGATTGAAAACCTCTATTAGAGCATAGAAGATAATAAATATCTGCACCACAATCAGAGGAAACTTTTTTATTTAATAATTTCATACTAAAATAAGTTATGGAACTTCACGGCCTGTACGCTCTGCATTTTATTGTACATCAAATTGAAAATATACATTTCATTTCAGTATTATGTGCTCTTTTTCCTTTTTCATATTAAACATTTTTTTTTTTACTTTTTAACCGGAATCAATTTTAATTCTCCATATTCCCTGCATAGCAGTGTTAGTTCTTAATGGATGAAAATGTTTGAAATGCAGTTAAAGTTAATTTACAAGTCCAATAATCTTGCCTTTCTATAAATAACCTGCTACCTTAGTACCTACTTACAATGTTTTTTGTTTGTCACTGTTGCTTTGAGACTTAATTTGAGATTAAAAGAGGCCAAACAGAACATTTATTGCATTTATTATGTTTGCATTAACAACAAAAGCATTTATTACCAAAGCTTGACTATTACATAAATCAAGTATTCAGCTCTCTCTAACACAAAAGTCAACTGATCTGCACACTGGAAACTGTTTTGTGTGTTTGTGTTCAGACACCATCCCCTGTATGCTGTCCCCCTGGTCGGACTGGAGTGAGTGTAGCGTGACGTGCGGCCGGGGAGTTCGAAAGCGTCAGCGGATGCTGAAGTCTGATCCTGCTGAGTGCACAGAGGAGCTGGAACAAACAGAGAAGTGCATGCTGCCTGAGTGTCGTGAGTCCTTGAATTTTAAACTCTCTCCTTTAGTTCAGGATATTTTCCTTTTTTCATTTCTCAATTTAACTTTTTTTTTTTCCTTTGAGTATTTCTTGACAGTTTTTATTGTATAAAGTCCACTGCACTCTGTATCAAAACCATTTGTTTGGGAGAAATATTGTTGCAAAATTATTTGCATTATCTTT